CCCTTAGATAGCGTTGTGTGTATAAATGAATGCTAACTTTTGTGCTCTGTCGACGCATAATTAAATTCAAAAACATTTTTTTTTTCATTCAATGACGGAGGCCACAGTTTTCCAAGTCACCTTATCAATGTTTGGCTTCATTTTCACCATAAGTTTAGTTGTGTTTAGTCTGTCAACGTGTGTGCAGACATCGGCTTTTTACACTTTTGACTACTAAGGAGAGTGACCACTCAGCAGTCCGACATTAATAAGAATCACATAAATGAATATTTGCGCATATATCACCTCCTGAATATAAGAGCATTTGTGTTCGGGAAGAAAAGTGACCTTATCTCAGATTTTAATCCGTCGAACTATATTTTCGCTTCCACTCCTTGAATAGAATAGGAATTGTAGTTTAGTCATTTAACCTATGATACAGAAATGGACAAAAACTGAACATCTTAAAATATTTAATGGCTTAATTAGAGACTTTAAAGGTTATTACAGCTCTTATACACCTGTTAAGATTTTATCGACTAAAATGCAGAAATTTGAAAAAAAATGATAATAAGCTGTCAGGTCAGGACTCGAACAATTTTAAGAGTTAAAAGCTATCTACTGATATTGGCTTCATTCACTGGAGAAATCATTTTTTCAATGATCAACAAATTGAATATATCATCTCTTCTTCCTTGCTGCAACAAGATGACGAGGTAAAATTAATTGTAACATCAAGAAGTCATTGTCAAATTCCATTCTTCTCAATGCATAAAAACTGTTTTACTTGAGCCTCTCACTGCTGTTATTTAAAGGAGATTACATGTAGCTAATGTACTAAATACCATTTGAAAAACTTACGAAAAGTAAATATTTTTCCGATTCTTTGAGGGTTTTCTAATTCTATGAAGATTAAAATATACTCGTATTTCTAAAAAAGCAAAGTATTGAGGCAGCTAACTTGCACGCCAACCTCATCAGCAAGGGATATTGGTATTATCATACTGATAACCATCCCGGACTGATTATCCGTTCTAAGTTGCTTCACATACGATGGCGTACGACAAACATCCAAAAATTATCGATAAATTATTTCTGCAATGCAAGAAATGACTTGAAAAGCCTCGGATTATTGGAGTTTAATGCGTTGGTTACTGTTGAAAAAGCATACGAAAATTCAATGCTTTTCCAACTCTTTCTATCTTTATTTGTGTTCTGAATTAAAAAAAAATTGCTCGTATTTCTTAAAAGCAAAGTATCAACAAGGAAAAGTCAATGAATCTTTGGCCATCTTAGGTGGACTTTTTAGGTTTGTTAGCAATAAAAAGAGCTTGAGGATTCGGATACTCGAGGTACCAATTTTCAACCAAAGTCAGAGTTCCAGAAGCATCACATCCCAGGTAGTAGTCACTGTTACGTTGTTTGAACATCGTGTAGCTCCAGAAGTATTCAGGCTCAAAGATGGAATCATCTGGGGTCTTCACTGGAGGTGCTATTACCTTAATCAAAAATAGCTTTGAATTAACAATAATGTTTTTTTTTTCCTCATGGCTAAATAACGCTATTTTCCCTTGCTACTTTTCCTAGCTACAACCTTAGAAACAATTGACATTTTTCAGGTAATTTATAGTAGTCCCTTTATTGAACAATTTTTTATTGAGTGTCGAAACTAATCCGGAATTGCTCAAGTTTTGCTTCAGCTCTGTGATTGGTCCAGAAAACTCGCGCCACTCTCTCAACCAACAGATGCAAAACTAAAACCAATCATGATTTGGTCCCTTCCGTTGCGATTCCTGGCTTTCAGCTAGTCTTGGTTTTAGCTACAGCACTCAATCAAAGAGTGGTTTAAGTCACTTTCGAGTTAGAGAGACAAGCTTTCCCTAGAGCACGTATTAATTTTGGCGTTGGAGGAAAATACTTTTTAGTTGGAGAAATCAATTATTTAAAAAGGACCCTGGGAAAAATATATGGATGAAACATAAAAAGAATAAATTGATTATGACAAATTTGAAAGCAATTGAATGAGAACGATTCTATGTGTATTAATTACTAGATAAAAAAGATAAAGGAACTGGCAAATGAAGTAGAGAGAGGTCAGTAAGACAGAATATGCCATTAGTTACATTGGCTGTGACAGCATTTCCTTTTCCATGTGCAGTCAGTGCTAGCTTTGTGCTTGCTCCATCTTTGAAAACAAGGGAAAATGCTGGCGTCTGACCATCTGTTTCATCAATGGTCTCCATAAGGGCTTAAAAGGGACATAAAGTAGCTTTAGTGTTAGATGATATTTCAATTCCTATGATAAGGGTCCAGGGGGCCGGTCATCTTAAACGAGTTCCTAAATCAACCAGCTGAAGTCACACGGGTTACTTAACTCACAAACGTTTTAGCAATTTTTAGTAATTTTATCAACGCTCCCAGGGCGCTGCGAAATCATTAATGTTTAGGAGATTCGAATCAAATTGCTAAAATTACTTAATTAGTAGACTGTTAGCTTAGGTAACAAAATTTGGTGAATTTCTCATCCACTTTAAATTTTGGACTGTTGGATGGGACGCGTCATTTGGCATTTATGAGAAATAACAAAAATATGCTCCTTATTTTGATCATTGTTAGTATGCTATAGTAATTTCATCTCGCCGCTTTCTTATGGAAAACGCCTCTTGTTTCCATCTGCCATGAACAGTAAGGTCAGTTAATGAGAGTTGTTTCTACGTGAAGGTTAACCGTTTCACTCCCAAGATCTCATTAGCAATTCTCTTCATTACCTGATATACAATTCTTGCGATGTAAACTAGCAGAATTTGGCATTGGATCGACTAATAACCCCTAATGTGATATTTTACGTTATTCTCATTACTTCGATGCTTGATATTGTATTGATATTGTAAGGAGAAATTCTGTCTCGGTCACTCAAGGGAGGCAAAGGGTTAATATCAGCTGCACAGTAGTTGTGTCAATGAGACGGAGATGGAAGACGGTCATGATGAGATGAGGGGGAATGGACAGGAATTGTCAAAAACACATACACTGACATTGCGAAGCTTTCAGTTATTCGGGGAAATTTGGGTAGAAACTGCAAACAGCCCACATTATTTTTCAAATTAACAGAATGATGTACGTACTGTCATCACCGGAGATAAAAGTTCCATCGCAAGTCACAATATTAGTGCTTGGATTCCTCATCATAACACCATCATTCTTTTTGCTGACGGGGCTCCACAGTCGATAAATGGTGTTTGGATGGATGGGATGAGGTTTGGAAGGTGGCTGAAAAAAATCACACAAAAATTGATGTGTGAAATTTGTAGATACCACTAACACTCTTTTTATTTGAGGCGAATTAGCGTTTGGCGTTTGTGGTACTTATTTCTTGGTATCTTGAACCTCTCATTCGTTCATTTGCGATCTTATCGCAAGTGAAAAAATAAAGAAAATGTATATATAAATAAATAAATAAAAAACATGAGTGCGCAGTTAGTTTTACTTCGAAGCCAAAGAGCAAGAAGAACAAGAATCGGATTCCTTTTCTGTTTGCTTTTATCTTTTCGTTCATTCTTTATCAAGCGTTCGTACTTTGATACACAACACTCGCTGCTTCCACAGATCGTTGTTACACTACAACTTTGCCAACATTTAAATTTGTTCGGGCGTTGCCGATTACTCGCATTGAGGTATTACTTGTGTAACACACGTGCATGCGAGACTTATCATTAATCAGAAATAAGCCACTTTAAGCTCGTTACTTAATAGAAAGTGCCTTTTTAACCTGTCGTAGAATTAGAGCTCGAAGTTTCATGCCATCTTTAAGCGGTTCGTTGCCCTGGAGGTCCCTATAGTGACCAGATTTTTCATCGTAAAGCTGGAACTTGACATCACTTGGCTCCACCTCACGCGGTAACACGTCGGAGAAGGCCTGGAGAAAAAGAATGGCAAAACCCTGGACAACTTCTCCTTTTGGACAGGGAATGACTCGCTTCGTAACCTCGTAGGTCACATGGATATTAATCTGATCGGCCATCTCTAGAATTTGGAAAATTGAGAAGGATATATCAGTGCATCATGACGGTAATTATGTTACATGGTGTCTTCATTTGTCATGTATTAGATCAAATATTGTACTTTTACAGGGTTAAACTGCAACTGTTCCTATGGTCATCACAAGTGATGTTGTTTTTGATGTTTTTTTCTTTCAGGGAATGGTCCAGTAATTGAAACTGTTTCGATGCAAGTACGAGTTTTAAGCTGTACCTGGATTTTTGTCCATAAAGACTATTTCATCTCCAACCCTTTTCTTATAGCGATAAGAAACTAAAATTTTTGTTGTATTTTATTATAAACTGACCTCGTAGGAATACTATGCCTCTCATTTCAGTAAATTAATTACTTATTTAGATAAATGCATTTAGCTCTTTCTTAATGAACCCTGCCGACATTAGTATAGATGGTTCCAAATGATTCTAAACTGTTAACGTGTTGCGTGACATGGTTTCTAAATCTTTATCTGCTGAGAACTAAATATTGTCCAGACTTTCTGCCATTATTTCCTTATAGTGACTCTGTTAGCTAAAAACGTGATGTTATATCAAATCCTATGCCATGCCAGCTTGTCTAGTGTACGCAATTTACCTCACAACCCGTCTGTTTGATACTGTGATATTGAAATTGTGTGAGGAAATAAGTTTATGGTGAGGCTGGCGGCTACAACGGAAACTGAATGCTTGTTGACCCTATGTTAGAAACGGAAATATCCATCACCAGACGAGGATTTTTCGAGAAAAGGTAAACATATGTCTACGAGGGCGGAACGGAGACACATAATTGTGTGTTAATTCAGTCTACTCACAATCTGACCGTCTAAATTTTTGCCTTTTCCTTTTGAGTTTTACGCTCTAGCTCTATCAAAAAAAGCAAAGTTTTCTTTGGCTTTAACCTCAAAAGCAATTCTCTGAATTGTAAAGGATTCCTAATGTTGTGGAAAACTGCTCCTTAAAGATTAACTAAAGGCAATGCCTGCTCACCTTCGCTTTGCCCAATTCTAAGCTCTTGCAAATACACCTCTGCTGGAAGACAAAAACTGTTTATGGAAGGAATCAAAGACACAAGTATTTATAACAGTAAGTACTTCCACATGTTCTGACACAGCAGTGAAGTTGTCATCGCTTGCATCGCTCTCACAAAAAGCATCTTAACTCTGCTAATAACAGGAATAAACAAACCTATGATAATAATGTCTAAAATAGGAAAAGTCCAGTCAACTTTGAATTGATATTTCGTGCCTGTTGGATTGCTTTTGCTTTTGCCAAACGTAACTTAGGGCCACGTTTGAAGTAAAAGAATTATTGCATGGGTCTTCAGTCCTTTTAAATATATTATTCTTTCGAATTAAGAGGTTATTCTATTCAACACGCGTAAAGAAAGGGAAAAAAACGCACACGAACTTATTCTTGTTAAGTCCTGTTCGAGACTTAAATCCATTGGGCAAATTTCCACCATTTGATTCTCTTTGTAGATTAAACGTTTTGTTCTAACAAATTACTTTTTATGTTTCCTGCCATTTTCTAGAATGGTTAGCGCAATGGACTAATGCCAAAACTAAGATAAGCCTCAGTATTAGCTTGGATAGGAACAAACAACGCACGCGAACTTATTCTAGTTAAGTCCTGTACGAGACTTTAATCCTTTGGGCAAATTTCCACCATTTAATTCTCTCTGTAAATTAAATGTTTTGTTCTAAAAAAAATTGCTTTTTACGTTTCCTGCCATTTTCTAGAATGGTTTGCGCAATGGACTAATGCCAAAACCAAACTAAGGCCCGGTATTAGCTTGGATTGTCTTGATATGAGCCATAGCGCATGTATATATGCACGTTATTTGGGAATATATGCATTTTTTTCACAATGAATTTGAAAGAGTGTTGGTAGGTTATAAAAAGAAAAGAAAGAAAAATAATTGATAATTCTTAACAGAAAGCTGTTGATGCAATGAATTGCATACAATCATTTAAATCCTGCACAGAACAGGAAAAATATATAGGGCACAGTCGGATATATAATATGACGGAAATTAAAAAAATTGCAATACAACTTGCACATAATTACCATAATCTCAGCTTGAAAACTTCGCTAAATAGAGAATAATACATGCGTGCCTGAAGATATGGAAATCCTCTTCTCGTATTCAACTCGACATCTTACTCGTTCGCTGCGCTCACTCGTTTTCTTTGTCTTCTACGAAATTTTTAGCGTCACTGTCTATAGGCTATAAGAATTTTTCAGTATTTTAGAGACCGGTCATTAGTTACGTAGAGGAACGGGGAAGAGAGGGGGGGGGATATTTTGGCAAGATCAAGATTTCTGTAAATAGCAAGTGACTCCCCTTCTCTTCTTTATTCAATATCCCTCCCCCGTCACCTCATATCTCTTCTTACATGCTTGGTAACTTTTATAATTCATTTCACATACAAACATAAGATGATTTTGCATAACAACGGAATTAACCAATTTACTTTAAAAAAATCGGCGTATCGTGAATATTTAGTGACAAGTTTATCTTACATGCCTTGTAATTATTATAATTCATGTCACTTTTAACCATAAGATGATTACTTTGCATAACAGCGAACTCACCTACTAAATTAAAAACTCGGAAAATCGTGTAGATTAGGTGACCAGTTTGTCGTCAAATTCTTGACATCTTTTGATCATACCAGTATTATGAAATTACCGAGAGCGATATTTTCTTAAATATAGGAAATTATTTCTTGACTTTGGAAAATTGTCAGATAGTTACAAATTATGCCTCTATGGTGAACGAATATGTATAATAACCAAGTAAAATTATAATTTTCCAATGATTTTCCGACAGTTGTATCAGTACTTCTCTCTTCTTGTTATATCATGTTTAACTCATCAAAACCGGTGGGTCTGGATTCTTTAATAACTAAAATTTGAGTTAACAATTAAATCACACCATAAATAATTTTCAGATATCTACAGTCATTAAAAATCACTAAGTTGTACAAAACTGAGCGGTGATTAAACCAAAAAAAAGGTAGAATTGACACAAAATTGTACAATTTCACATTGCTGTTTCAGAGATATTGTTACAATCTACTATTTACACAAACCGGACTAAGTACATTCGACTGACAACAAACTTTCACTCGACTCTGATGATGACTTCTGCTCAGGTTATCGAAACGTCAGTCACCACTACCGGATCGTGATTTCACGATGACTCGGCATTCTATTTTTGGGACTTAAAATGTTTACATGAGTAATTCTCGATTTTGATCCCGTAGTGATAAAGAGAAAAAAAAAACAAATATATACGAAAAACATAAGAGTAGAATTTCAAGTCAACAAATTTCCATATTAACAATTTTTACTGTCGATCGAAACACTTGACAGCTGAAGAGACCGTCTCGGTATTTTTACCTTCATTATCTCTTCCTCTTTCCATATGAATGCTAGGAGTTTCTTCTTACCATCAAGTTTATCGCTATTTTGAAGTTCCTGATAGTCTTCCGAACCCATTTTGTCATCGCACTGTAGAAACTTGACTTGTATTAGCGTTACCTGGCCTAATAACACATCTGAGAAGATGTTCAGAAAAAGACGGCAAAGTCCCTTAAATCTTCGTCTTTTTTAAAGGAAATATCTCTCTTTGTTTTTTTTTACGTCACGTTGACGTTAATTATATCGCCCATGTCTAGGTTCTGAGGAGGTCGTGAAGATAGATGAGGACAGTTAGGGATGTGGTTTGTTGACTTCTTTTTCCCTTAGGCATAAGATGAATAAAATTTCATGCTATGCGTTATTTCTGATAGAAATTTCAAGGGATTGGGGCTGGTATTTCAAACAGTGCTTCATAGCTTTTTCTTTAATTATCGCCACAGAGCGTTAATGGTGTGAACCGATGGTATAAACATGCGTGCATTCAGGCCAATAAAAGGTCATAAAATCGTTTTATGGGTAACCGACTAAGTAAATTAAGCCAATCCTTATTAAACTGATTAGTAGGATGACCAAGGCTTTTCAGCTAATTGAACTGTAGAGAACGATCACGATCTTGCGTCAGTGTCTATCATTTGGGGATGCACAGTTACAGATTGGAATGGCGAAGCTAACAAACCAGTAGTTATCATTTTACTGACAATGTTCTTTGCGTTGACACTAGTAAGAACTGGAAACTGTTCGATGATGACAAGCCTAGACTCATATTCTTCAAGATGAAGCCTTGTAACCCCAATTGCCTTGGGGTTACAATTGATGATAAACTCTCTTGGTCTCAGCATGTTGCATTGGCTAGATCTGCATTTAATGCCAAAGTTAAAATGTTGAGACGTATAAATTTCCTATGTACATCTATCTTGGAGACTTTTTACTATAGGATAGTTATACCAAGTGTTCTATATGGAATTGCAATTTGGGGGTCTGGATCCAAGCTTAAAGATCTAGAAATGATTCACATCAGGGCTGCCAGGCTAATTCATAAGATACCAAATAGTTTTGGGGATAATGATGTACTTTCTAAGGTTGGCTGGATGCCTTTAGAGTATTTTTATAAGCTACGTATCTTAACTATTACATATAATGCTTATTATAATTTAGGGTTGCGGGAAATTAATTGTTTGGTGACCAAGAACTCTAACAGTTATAACCTAAGGAAATCCCTGAATGTTGTACTTAATAGGCCCAAAACCGAATTGGGTCGTAGGTCCTTTGCTCATAGATCTGCAGTAGCATGGAATGCACTTCCCGATAATGTTAAAGATTCTCCAAATTTATCTATTTTTAAATATAACTTAAAACAATCCAAGCAAACTGTTATGAATATTAATTTTGAAAAGGGAGGTAATGTTATACAAAACATGAAACCAAATTTTCACTATTACTAAAACTTTATGGTTTACTTGATTTATTCAACTTATAAATTTTATCATATCTGTATTTTATATAATTATAGACTAATTAGTTTAGGCAGGTCCACATCAGCTGTAAAGTTGCGCAAATTTTAACCTGCGTTATCAAATAAAGTTATGTATGTGTATGTATGTATGTATGTATGTAAGATAACTGAGCCGACTGCAGTAAAAAGCGAACAGGCAATGACATGTTGTCTATTTCAGGTGTGACTTCCGTTTTCAGTTCATACGAGGCTACTAATTCAAAAATTGATTTTCAGTGGTGGGTTCAAACTTTTATGGTATTCGGCAAAAAAGTTCTCTTTCATTTATGCTTTTACACTTAACTCAAGCCAATGCTGAACATTATTAACCGCAAACATCTCTTATCCACAGCTAATGCAAGTTTTATTTTTAGTGACTAAAGACTGAAGTCATACAGTGCGAGGTATAATTTTTGAAATTCACTAGGAAAAGGTAATTACACGATAGAGGCAAGTAAGGAAAGTTTTGTAACTTTCGGTTGCGTGAAAAAAAAAAATTGTAATGTATGTATTTAGAAAGCTTGCCTCTTCAACCCATTCATGTATAATGAGTGGTGGTGAATTTTTTGGTGATACGGCGATGCCTACAATAGTATGTGAATGTCCGTAACCCTTTGCATAACGCAGGTATATCGTTTACCCGGCCGGTTGCCAACTTTGTACGATGCATTACCACCTCTTCCGAGCAGGACTGAAGCTAAAAGTTCGTTGCCTGAACAGAATGCTGAGCATAAAATGCGATTTTCCTGGTTCATCTCGTAGAAAAAGTGGATTCCATGTCCATTCATCTCACGGAAACTGTAAGCTCAACTTTGTACACAACTTCCTTAGAAAAAGATCACTTCGTATCCACGAATACCTTTACAAACACGCATTCTCATCTAACTGCAGAATGCAAATAAAGAAGAAATAAATGAAATATTTGTAACAGCTTCATAATGTTTCCATGATGGCATATAATACACTTCAAGTCAGGAACTGTTTTTTTGGTTTTAATTGTTTGTCTCACAGTCTTACACATTTAAGACGCCTTCAACCTGCATCTTGTTCTGCTGTGAGTGAAGAACGGTACTCAAAATTAAGTAGGTATTTCAAGCCGATGTCGGGTACGTATTTTAGTTTTCAGTGATTATTTTGATACAAATCCATTGTGTTGACCTTAAGCACGGTAGTATAGAATTACATTTTCAATCCTGGTTTTGTGAAAGGTCACTTGTTATGACAAAATGATTAATCAGGATAAAAAATAACAAAATAAGGAAAACATTTTGAAATACGTAAAAAAAAAGAAAACATATTAAAAAAAAGGCAATGCAAGTAAACGCCGGTGGAAATTGGCTCAAGCGTTCTAATGTTATATCATCAGCG